TGACCTTGTCCTTCATATTCCAGGGCTGAAATTATGGACGGGTCCGATACTCAAAATTGGGTTCTTCTTGAAGTCTTACAACTGCGGTCCACCATGTCTCCTGCCGACATAGCCCAGCTTCCAGTTGGGAATCCCAACGGGGTTGATCTTGTTCCCCCAGGCGATTTCCCAGTATGTTCAGGTCCCATACTGGATGAGCCTCATTTCTTCTATTTTTATCGAGACCTCATAACGAAGCTAGGAATTCGGTTTCCTTTTACCGAGTTCCAACTGGCTGTGATCCGACCCTACGGTGTAGCAATACGGTCTATCATGGACCTAACAGTTTCCATCTGTTTTTCCTTTCTAGCAGCAATTTGGTGGGTCTGTGTATCCGAAAACCTGAAAGAAAACCCAAAAGAATTATCAATAATGATAGCTAGGATCAACTTCAAACACACCATTCACAAAAAAGAGATTTATAAGTCTCTCCATTACCACACAGACGAAAGAAAATTAAAATTATCCTGAATCTGCATCTAATTGCATATCCACCTATAAATTAAAACAACTTTACATCCAACATGCAACCCTTTTATTTTATCTACACAGTGCCATCCAATAATTCGTTCATATCATCAATAAACCACACACAAAACAATATTATGCTAACAAACAATTCACAAAGAGCAGAGGCAATTCAATTCAACTCAACGAACAGAAGAAAGGGCATATCAATCAGACATTAACCAAAATAATTATAGAAAACAATTACTTCTTCTCTGAAGCGGATCCATCAGTTTCCTCAGCAGCCTCCAAGTTATTCCGAGACTCCTCGAGTTTCTGGGCGATCTCAGAGTCGGTGTAACCCTGATCAATAAGCTTGTCTTCTAGGATAACGAGCTTGAGCTAAATCTGACGCTTACGGTCATGATCCAAGATCTCTTTGTCTGGCTTCCTGGTAACACCTGCGGTGCCCTGATCTCCCTCAAAACCTTTCGTGTTCTCAGAAACCTTCGAACTCTTTGGCTTCACAAAGAACTTGTTGCTTTGAGTGTACCCATTGGTACCAGACCCTCTTGGGGTTTGTAACCCTATTCCGTTGTACATGTCAGTCACTCCTACTCAATCACTCACTGCAATTCAAATCACTGCAATTCAAATCGGAAACAAATAATAACAATAGAGAGCGGTTATATTATATTTATAACCAAATAGTTTATAAACTCTTGCAATTATATTTTACAGGGTGTATTAAATTAGGATTTAAAAAAAAAATTGAGATAAAAATCCTACAGATTTTAAAAGATATTTTAAAATTGGAGAGATTTTATAGATTTTTTTAAAAGACTTTTTCTACCATCAAATTTCATTGGATTGAATTTTAAAGGATTTTAATAGAATTCATAAGATTTAAAAGGACAATATGAATTTATAAGATTTTAAAAAACTATATGAATTTTTAACAAATATTCAAAATTACAAGAGTCAATAAAAACAAATAACAAAGAAATGCAATGATATTAATAAAAAAAAGTAAACTTAACAACGGGTTGAAAATTATCTCAAAAATTACTAATATAATCTAATATAATTTTCTCATTGAGTTTGAGTTTGATTTGCGAAAATAATAACCATTGATTGACGAAAATCAACGGTTAAGATATGGTTGTAAACAAAAATAGGTTGTAAGTAGGGGTGTTAACGAACCGAACCGAACCAAGCTTTGGTCTTAAAAGGTTAAGTCTGTGCTTAAATGTGTCAGCTGATCAAGCATGTTACCTGTTACGAATATAATTTCAGCCTGTGGCTTGTATTATTTACAAAAAATAAATGTCTGATTTAGCCTGTTTAAGAAAAATAAGACAACAAAAATTTATCCAAACAAAATATACAATCAACAGCACTAGTAGTTTCATAAATATTCATAAATTTACTATATATCCAAACAGCATAATATAAAATAAAATCATTCAAAAAGTATGTTTAATTAATAAAATGGGATGAAATAGATTGATGAGAGAGAGAGAGAGAAAGCTATCACAAGTAGTATAAAAAATATAAAATAAAAATAAAAATTAATATATTAGGTCAGCCTGAGAGGCTCTAAGGCCGAGCTTTTGAATTGAAGCCTGTGTGTGGCCTTTTATTAAACGAGCTTTTATATAGGTCCAAACCTTGTTCCAACAATCAATTTTAGACATGTAAGCTCAGGCCTTCACGAGCCGAGCCAAAGACCCCTGGCTCGTTTAGCACCCCTAGTTGTAAGTATAATATTCTCCATAAAAAAATAACAAAGAAATGCAATGAAATTAATAAAAAAAGTAAAACCTAATATAATTTTCTCAATCATTAAAACATAATATAATTTTTAACAAACATTCAAAATTACTAAACAACAGTTTTTCACATATCTAATGGGTTGAAAATTATCTTCTACATTTGGTATCAAAGTTATGCATATATGATTATAAGACTCAATTTTTTTAATTATAAAAACAATTCTAAATTTGTATATAGAACCTAAAGTTCATGATAAAATTTCGTTTGTAATTTTTTGCAATTGATCTTGAAAACCTTGAGGTTTTTATTTTACGTGATGAGAGTTTTCTAACCATATATCATATGCATATTTTCATTAAGAAAGTTTTGAATCTGAAATTTTAGGTTTAATTACATGAAAGTTTAAAAAAAGTCTCAAATTTTTTTCAATCGATACATTGAAACCTTAAATTGCTTTGGGACTTTTGAGAAACAAGTTTTTAGTTATCTATTAACACAAAAATTATTTGAAATAGTTTTCTATAGTGAAGGAATTTCGTTAGTGAAGGAATTTCGTTCATAAATGTATTGTTACGAAATATAGGGTTCATATTATGAAAGTTTCATTCTTTTTTTAAATTGATATCGTTTCATTTATGTAAAACGAAAATTGGTATGAGGGTTTTAGTTCCCTTGTTATTTTTTCACTGTTATATTTTAATACAAAAATCACACTTTTTATGCCAAGAAAAATCGCGACCCATAGCTTGAAAAAACACTTTTTAAACTTTCAAAATTTCTAAAAAATGGCTCAAAAATATGTTATTTTTGAGATAGATTATATTGAAATCTCGTTTGTTGTTTCTGGGTTGTTTTGTGATGAAAATGCCACAAAAATATGCTTTTTATTAGTTTTGATGAAGCTCTCATGGCGGAACCCAATTTCGAACAGTCAACCTGCCAAAGGAAGAAGAAAATATTGCAATAGAAGAATTTCAAAAAATCCTAGGGGTTAGGATGAGATTATGAGAGAGGCATCCTATTTATATTTTTCACTAAAAAGTCTCACGAAATCCACACCAATGGAAATCCATTAAAATCGTCAGATTTTTGAATACCACGAGATTGTGATTTCATTGTTTAAAATCCTGATTGAATACCAACGGATTCTAAAATAATCCTTTAAAGTCCTAATCGAATACCACGTGACTTTTTTTCAATCCATTAAAATCCTTATCAAATACCAACGAAATTTTTTGTTCAAAAACAATCCATTAAAATCCTTTAAAATCTCAATTCAATACACTTCTTTAATCGCTGATTTTCGTCAATCAACTATTGTCATTTATTGTGAATTAATAATAAATTAATAAATTTGATTTACGAAAATCTTAACCATTGATTGACGAAAATCAACGATTAAGATATGAATGTAAAAAGTTGTAAACGAAAATAAATTATAAATATAACCTTCCCCGATCTCCCATGACAATAAAGAACAAAACATTATAAACCCTAATTTCGACGGCGATTTACGGATCTCAAAATTATCATAGAAAAGAAGATAAATACATCTGATACACTTTAACAAAAATTTAGACCCAAAGTTGTTATTTATTGTTCTTTATTGATGATATATCATTGATTTTGTTGGAGATATATATCATTGATTTTATATGAAGTTGAGGACAAATACTATTATGATAATTGTTTGTTAAAATTTAGGGCTTATAAATCTCGTAAGAGATACGCTTGAAGAAAGAAATATATTTTTTTGGTAATCGAAGAAAGAAATATTTATTATTATATAACGTGGCATTGTTTTCTAATTATATCATTAAATTACTACCTTAATAATTTATTTATTTTTGGCATCACTCACTACCTCACTACCTTAATAACTATTAATGAAAAAAATATTTGTTCTTTTGAATGACACAACTTATATTATTTCACTCTCACAAAGAGGTGAGACTCACACTTTTATTTTTTTTATTCATTCTCTCTCCTCTTTTATCTATCTTTTTCTCTCACTTAAAATGACATAACTTTATATCGTTTAAAATGACACATTTTTTTCATTATTAATATAACAGAAAAAGGAAAAACATCGTGACAAAATATAATTTTTAATTTCATTTATATATCCTAATTTTATTTTATATGAACTTAAAGATGTACATTAGATAGAGAAGAAATATGGGCTAATTTGAAATCAGTTTTCAAAAATAACTTTTTTATTTTCAGAATAAAAATACAAAAATTCATTTAATAAGATCTGTTTTGTTAAAAATAAAATAAAATTTAACTGTAATTATTTTTTTTAAATCAAATTTAAAGAACATATCTGAATTATTTTTATTTTCTGTTTTGATTTTTAATTTTTAAAATAAAAAAGCATAAAAAATAATTAAATACAAAATAATCCTACAAAACAATTTAAAAAAAAAAAAAAAAAAAAACAAGAACACAATTAGACAGGCCCTCTGTTTTTCAATTTTGTTTTACTCCATGAGCAAGAGTCGTGCTTATTATACCTTGAGGAGCCCTCTCTTAAATCAGCTGTCCTAAACGGAATAGAAACAAGTGGTGCATTGACATGTTCAAATTTGTTGTTCAAATTACTGTAACCCTATTACGGTGGCCAGCTTGACGACTTTGCCTCATGCTGCAAACGAAAATCATTGTCTTTCATGAAAATAGCAGTTTCAGTTTTTCACTCTTGCAAACAAACAACATCTGCAATAGACTTGAATAATTTTTTTAAAAAAGAAAAAAAGAAAAATTACCGGTCAGAATTCAGAACTTGAAATCTAAGCAAACATGAAAAAATAAATCTCACCCACCCACAAATTACATGCTTTAAAAAGCAGAAGCATAAGACAACTGACACACATCTACGCTCAAAGATTAAAGTAGTAAATAAGTATTCTCGGTGCCTGGACCCAGTTCATGTGTCACTTTCATGCCTCTCACTCACTCAGTACGAGATCCATAGTATTTGGTTCTCTTGGAGTAATCCCCATGGCTATCCCTCTCATAACCTTTGTTTCCCCGCTCTTCATCCTCCCTTCTGTGCTTTCTTTCTCCATGACCATCATCATCCCTTCTTTGCTGCTTCCTTTCTCCATGACAATCATCATCCCGCTTTCTTTCTGCTCGACCATCCTTGTCCCTTGAGTGCTTCCCTTCTCTACGATTATCCTCATCATTTAAGTTTTTTCTCTCTCCACGGCCATCCTCATCCCTTAAGCGCTTTCTTTCTCCATGATCATCCTCATCCCTTGAGGACTTTCTTCCTGTATGATCATCATCATCCTTTCTGAACTTTCTTCCAGCATGATCATCCTCCTCCCTTCTGAACTTTCTTTCTCTACTATCATCCTCATCCCTTAAGTGCTTTCTTCTGGTACGATAATCTTCATCCCTCCCACGCTTTCTCTCTCCACGGCCATCCTCATCCCTCCTTTGCTTTCCTTCCCTAAAATCACCATCATCATCCCTTAAATGCTTTCTTTCTACATGATCATCCTTGTCCCTTAAGTCATTTCTTTCTGTACGATCATCTTCATCCCTTCTACGCTCTCTTCCTCCTTGGTCATCTTCACCCCTTCTACGCTCTCTTCCTCCTTGGTCATCTTTATCCCTTCTACTCTTGTGCTCCCTATGATCATCATCATTTCTTCTGTGCCTTCTTGCTTCATGATCCTCACCATACCTATCAATTTGCCCAACAAAATGTGATTCATTATCATGCCCTCCAAGCCTAGCTGATTTAGAATAACCATCTCTTTCTCGATCATCATTTTGGTACATTCTAGATTTTGATTCAGACTCAGTTTTACCAAACTTTTTGTCATCCCCATCATGCTTAGCCAATGTGAGAAGCTCCCTATCTCCATCTCCATCAATCTTCCTGTTACCCTGTGTCATTTCTTGACTTCTACTTTTTGATCCCTCTGTAAAATCTCTCCCATATGATTTCCTTAGAGAATTCAATCCATCAACATTAGCAATATTTTTCCCTTTTTCCGCACCATTACCCCTGGAATCATATCTGAATTTATTTTCTTCCATGTCATATCCTTTACTACTTTGTCCACCTCTGTCATTTACTTCCTCCCTAGGTCCACCTTTCTTTAATACAGCAGACCCACTTTTTCTTGTTTTTTCATATCTTCTATCACTATAATTGCTTTCTGAATCACTGTCATTGCTACTCTCTTCAGATGAAGAGTATGACCCCCTTGTAACATATCTGTCTTGTCCCAAAGCACGTCTAGCACTGTCTCTATCAGAGTCCTTGTCCTTAGAACTATGCCTCCTCGTCTTCTGATTCTCGAGTCTACCATATTTCTTTTCCTCACTATCAGAATCAGATTCCTCCTCCGAATCATGATGTTTGCTCATCTTTGTATGCTGCTTCCCTTCTCGAGTCTTATGCTTGGAGAAGCCTTCATGATGATCAGAATCATCATCCGAGCCATGCCTCTTATGAGCCTTTTTTGATTTTTTATTACTTTTCCTTGCAACATTGCTTTCATCAGAATCAGAAGAATCAGTATCATCACTTTCCTCTACCCTGCCTTTCTTGTGGTGCTTGGATGTCTTTGGCTTCTTTTCAGCCTTGACCTTCCTCTTAGCATCACTATCAGAATCAGATTCATCACTACTGTTCGTATTCTCTGTAGTGTGCTTCCTTCTACCTCCCTTCTCATCATCCATATTGCTATCTGAATCAAATGAATCATCCTCATGCTTTCTCTTACGAGTTTCACCTTTCTTGTGGTGCCTTGTATCTTTAAGGCCCTTCTTCTTAGCATTTTCATCTTTTTGATCTTCAACCATTTGTTTCTTCCTACTGAAATCTCTGTCCAAAAAGGCATGTTCACTTTTCAAATTATGTTTCCCCTCCGCATTAGAACCATTTTTTCCATCATTCCCTGGCCCATCATCGTTTCCTTCAGTATTCATTTCGTTGACTTCAGAAGAAACTATGCCGAGAGCAGCTTTCAATGTTTCCATCTGCTTTTCCTTTCTAGCAGCAATTTGGTGGGTCTGAGTATCCGAAAACCTGAAAAAAAAACCCCAAAAGAATTATCGATAATGATAGCTAGGATCAACTTCAAACACACCATTCACAAAAACGAGATGTACGAGTCTCTCCATTACCACACAGACGAAAGACAACTAAAATTAACCTGAATCTGCATCTAATTGCATATCCACCTATAAATTAAAACAGCTTTACATCCAACATGCAACCCTTTTATTTTATCTACACAGTGCCATCCAATAATTCGTTCATATCATCAATAAACCACACACAAAACAATATTATGCTAACAAACAATTCACAAAGAGCAGAGGCAATTCAATTCAACAAACAGAAGAAAGAGCATATCAATCAGACATTAACCAAAATAATTATACAAAACAATTACTTGTTCTCTGAAGCGGATCCATCAGTTTCCTCAGCAGCCTCCAAGTTATTCCGAGCCTCCTCGAGTTTCTGGGCGATCTCAGAGTCGGTGTAACCCTGATCAATAAGCTTGTCTTCTAGGATAACGAGCTTGAGCTGAATCTGACGCTTACGGTCATGATCCAAGATCTCTTTGTTTGGCTTCCTGGTAACACCTGCGGTGCCCTGATCTCCCTCAAAACCTTTCGTGTTCTCAGAAACCTTCGAACTCTTTGGCTTCACAAAGAACTTGTTGCTTTGAATGTACCCATTGGTACCAGACCCTCTTGGGGTTTGTAACCCTATTCCGTTGTACATATCGGTCACTCCTACTCAATCACTCACTGCAATTCAAATCGGAAACAATAAAGAACAAAACATTATAAACCCTAATTTCAACGGCGATTTACGGAAATTATCATAGAAAAGAGAATAAATACGTCTGATGCACTTAAAGAAAAATTAAGACCCAAAGTTGTTCTTTATTGTAAGGAGACTGACAAAAATTGAAAGATCAAAGTTCATAACGAAGAAAGAGAAACCCTAGAGGATGTTAGTACCTGGAGCAGCTATTCCGGATTAGACGAATCGAAAAGAATGGAGAAAAGCATTCTGAATTTTTGATATTTTAAGATGAAATGATGGTAATGAGACCAATAAAAATGGGCCCATTCATTAGGGAAGAGTTTTCTCTACCTTTGTCATTGGGCCGGCTGCAACAAGTTGAGCCTTTTACCTAAACAATATTAATTTTGTTATAGTTTATATACACAGCTAAATTAATATTTTTTTTAAAGTAACTATATTTTAATCCTTGATACTAATATTTTTTATTTATTCATATAAATAATTAGAGGAGAGACAAGTGTAGTCAGACCATGCCACCACCTTTTATTCCAGAAGATGGTCAAGCGTGACAATTTTTAACACTATATAATATACTGATAAAATTCAAATATGACAGATTTTCATATTTGTGTTTCAATATACCAATTCAACTTGATTGTTTAAATTAAACAGTTATATAATTTACACATTTACCTCAAATTCTCCTAATCTCTTTTGGGATAAACAACACCAATTTCCTTTAATCCCTCACTTTATAAACCGGAACCCTAGCTATGTTTCATCTCACCACCATGGCCAAGAAGCGAAAGCTTTTGATCCTCTAACGCAAAGCACACCATGCTGGTTGGGCGTTTGGCAGAGGAGAAATATTTTTTTATCCGGGAATTTTGATTTTCAGAAATATGATGGAAACATTCAATTTACGATAATATCCGAAAATTAAAAATTGAGAAAAATTCAGTTTCTCGAAAATCCTAAAAAAGACCTTGTACCATAAAACCAATGGTTTTATAAAAGTTATGTTGTATGAAAAATGAGTTTGTAATATTATAGAAATTCGTTTTTCGTGCCTTAATTTTTTTTTAATTCAAAAGATGAGGGCCCCAAAAAATGATGTTTATGTAGGAAACTTTTATTTTTTCCTGTCGCAGGATCAATGCAAAGCCCTAAAACCAAAAGGTTGTGGAAGTGGACCAACATCCCAACCCTAGAAGAAGACCATGCCCCATTATCGAAAGAACAACTGCAAGATGAAAATGTACACGTGGGAAGAATAAGAATAAGAACAAGAACAAAAATAAAGCTATATTGTGTTTGGTTTATGGTTACACACTCAATGTTAAGGCCTGTTAGGTGTGACATATAAGGCATGATAGTATAAGCTTATACTATACGTTATGACATTTTCAGTTGTTTGGTGTGACCATTGTATAGTATAAACTTATACAGCATAATCCCTTAATACATCAAAACGATGTATAACTTAATCCGACCTAAGGGTGAGGAATAAGACCTGATAAGAAATTGATGTATTAACATTGTTGACCAATGTAATTTTCAAAAATTAATATATTATTTTAATATTAATCTATTAAAATAAAAATTAATTTTTTAATAAATTAATTTTTAAAATATTGAATATTTTTATTTTTATAAAATTTAATTTATATTTTGAACACACTGATCGATAAATTTTTATAAAAATTAATATCATATGACATTTTTTGAAGAATTATATAAATTCTTTATTAAAAGATATTTTTATTAAAAATATATTTTTATCATATATAGTATTATACAGTGCATTACCAAATACTAGATATTATCGTATACAATATATTATTTTATACAATACCGTGCCAAACGCTGGATAGTATTAAGATTCAATCAGGTCTTATACTATCAGGCCTTATCTTATACTATGCACCAAACATGCCCTTAGGTTTCTTTCTTTGTTCATGTCCACGTATTTGATTAAAGAAGGTGATATTTGAAATGCTTGGATTTTTGTATGCAATATAGGATTTTGTATTTGATGGATGAGATTTGAGAGAAGATTGTGGGGGACAATAACATTAAATGCATCCGGGGAAAATTAGGGACATTAACCGTACTGCTGCGTTTTTTCAAAAAAATTTACTTTAATATCACGAGCTGACATTTTTTGTCAAAGTGTCACGACTCCAAACTCACTACAATTTCCAGCGGGTTGGTTTGCCACGTGGCACATTTCTTGAGAAGTTCAAACTCGCTTCCACCTGTGGCTATTATGGTGGACAAACAGTCAGTCTCTTTTCTACAAAGGCGTGACTTTTAACATATAGACATAAACTCATTGTTAGTGGTAGCGAGTACAGTCTAACATGTCAGAGAGTTTATGTCTAACCTTCCATGTGTAAGAAACTTACTAGTAGTCCCAGCGACTTCAGTGCTATATAATCCCCCACCTCAATTTCCCATTTCATATTTCCTTACGATTAGAATATATAATTCCTCTCATTTCTACCGATCAAAATATCCACATGTGTTTGTGTTTATGTTTGTGTTTGGCAATGTTACTTTTTCCTCCTTTTTTATTTTAATTTTTACAAAATGAGTGACAACAAGAATTCAATAATTGCCATTGTGTACTACAATGGGAAGAAATATTTTGGTCTCAATGGTCAGGTTTTTTAAAGAGATACGAAAATGTTCCGCATGAGCCCTAGTGTAGTATAATGATTTGAAGAAGACAATATACAAGAAGTTGAGATTACAAAGGGGTCTCAATTGACTGCTAGTTGTGCCTCGAGTAAAGAGAATTGGGTTCCTGTGGAGATTTTTGAGAATGAAGATGTCACATTAGTAGTATATGCATTTCAAAATGAGCGAGACTCTGTATTTATTGAACTGTATGCGAAAGTAGACTTCAGTGGACAATCTAGTAGTCAGCATTCACTCCCTTCAATTCACTCTATCGATATTAATAGGGACCCACATTTTCATCCTGAAGATAGGTATGTGATTTCCCCACCACCCCCAGCATGTGCAAAATCAAGGTGCGCAAATCATGTTGTCTGGCCTAGCCAGAGACAACTTCACATCTATGGGCAAACCCAACAGATGGTGTACATCCTTTGGAGTGATCGTAACCTCACCCATCGACATGTGAAAGGTTTGTGTCTCAAGGTGCCAACTCTCCACAAGCGCAGAAACAAGCTCATGGTCCATCTGAAACAATAAAGTGGGTAATGTTAACAAATAATTACAATTAAACCCTATAATCCTAAATAAACAATATTTGTACAGTAATCTTGTGGTTGTGTAGCTGCACAGCGTGATAGGAATCAACCTGCCTCAAATAAGGATGGATTTGCTCAGGTATGTTGATATGATCGTGCGTGGCTGTGTGCCTGACATTAATCAGGCGATCATCCGCGCCATTCTACACACATGTATATACGTGTTTCTCCTGTAATGTCAGGAGAGAGCGATCAATGTGACCTGGGGTAATTACACAACGCATAGACCTTGGGGAGTCAGGAGGTGAGGAGTCATTATCCTCACGGCACGGTGAATTGGTAAGGGAATCCATGAATCTATTTAAAATAATAATAAATTATTATTTTCAAATAATAATAACAAATTATATTAATAATTCTATTTATAAATATTAAATTAAATAAAAAATTAATGTCAACTGTCCTAGAGTTTAATCCCTACACTAGCATATATAAAAAGGCATATATTCTAGGGTTTCAAATTCCAAAATAAATAATATTAAAATATAATATATATCACAAAAGTCATTAAATTATATTAATAATAAATTTATTATCTTTTTTAATACAAAATTTGTATATTAACTATCCTAGAGTTTAATCCTTATACTAATTCATATAAAAAAATATCACAATTTTACAATATAATTTATTAAACAAAAATAAATAAATTATTTTAATAATGTTATTTTTAATTATTATTTTAAATACAAATTGGGACAACATCCTATTTGACCCTAGCCCATATGGGTTAGGGCCAAAAAGCCCACAGGATTAAATGAATCTCAATAATTAAGGCTCGCATGGGGAAAAAGCCCGCCAGCGGGCCAACCAAAATTATAATTTCATAATTTTTTTATCATATTCAATACATTAAAAAATATTTTAACAAATAAATTTTTAACACTTTCTTAACATATTTTATACAAATTATAAATTTTTTTTAATAAAATAAAATTTGTACATAAATATACAAGTGAAAATGTAAATAAAAGTTTAATATAAGTGAAAATTTAGTTACTACTTTTACTAAATTCATTATTAAACGATGTCATCAAATAAAAATTTTCTCACAAAGAGTCATAACAGAATACAACAATTATAGTGGAAAAAAAAGTAATGACGAAAAAATTATCTTAATAATAGTATTGAGTGATTGCTCTTAGTATGTCATATATTTGAAAGTAAAATCATTGATTTTCTTAAACTATTACCGTTACAAAAAAAATTAGTTATTATTATCCAATAAATTACCAAAGTGCATTTTATATAATATGTTTCAATATAAATTTGGATGTATAACATGCTTAGATGCAAATAGAAAAATTTATTTTTATTGATGCGCAGATGAAAATATCTGTTAAAACATATTAGTACTGAAAAATTTATTTTTATTGTAAAATATTATGGATGAATTTTCACATAGTTCGTAACATGTGACTCTTTGTTTTTTCATGACCTTTGTTATATTCTATAATCATCACATTAATGGTGTATTGAATTGTAGAATACATTCAAAGAAGATATTGTAAAATATTATGGATGACCTTTCACATGAATTATGGATAGTCTTTGACATAGATTATGGATGACCTTTCACATGGATTATGGATGACCTTTCACATGGATTATGAATGACTTTTCACATGGATTATGGATTAGAGGTGTTGATCAATCGATCCAAACCGATTCAAATCGCGGTGACCGAAT